TGGATGGATGATGGATGGTTGGATGGATGGATGGATGGATGGATGATGATGGTTGGATGATGGTTGGATGTCTGAAACTCTCTATATTTTCCACAGTTTGCCTTTGGGCTCCCAGACCTGCGTCTGAAGGACGTGGCCTGCAGCGTCAGTCTCTTGGAACGGTTCTTGGTGTTCTCGAGTCGTCGYGGACTCTACGCCGTCAGGAACGCCATGTGTGTCCTGACCCCGCAGCGACTGCAGGTCATCGAGGACCGCTTCTACGCCAACGTTGACTTCTTCAAACTCCTCCGGCTGGTCAGTGCTCYTCTGTTTGGATCCATGTGGTAAAAGTGTGGTAACTTCATGATCGCTGATAAAACATTAAATCACAGTCTGATTTTCATCCTTAACTAAAAATGTGTCAAATGTGACACAAGCAGCTAAAAGATCAGAACAGTTTCTAGAAGCTAAAGGCATCAGAACACAAGCTGAAAGCAACATGGCAGCAGCTAAAAAGGAGCAATCAGCCCTCCCAAAAATACCAGCATGTTTTAATAAGGCAGAAAACACAACGTGTTTCGGCTACAAGTTGACGACGGCATGTAGCCGAATCCCATTTTTGTGATTCTTCAGACGCAGGCACCRATTTACTCCTTCTCCTTTTTTGTATTGGAGTTGTGCACACTACTTTTTTCTTAAGTAGCTAAAATGAGCCAAATGAATTCTGAAGCTTAAATAACTAAAGGCTGCAAATTAGGTGCGTAAGTAGATAATCTAGGTGTTAAAGCTAAAACTTGCTAAACATCAGCTAAAATGTGCAAACAGACACCAAATTTACAAATACAAAACAGAAAAACGAATAAAATAAAACAAAACAATGCTAAAGCTAAAATTCGCAAAAAAAAGATTAACTTTACATAAACGTAGAAAGCAGCAGAGGGGTAACTAAAAGTAGAAGAAAGAGTAACAAAAATTAGCACAAGTTTAGCTAAAGGCAGCAGAATGATATGCTAAAGTAGTAGGGAAAATAACAAAAGTGTCAATACATTTAGACCAGGAGAAGCTGAAGGTCCCACACGGAGTATAAACGATATATACAGTATATA